GACCCTACCACCGGTAGCTTGGGCCCTGCTCCGCTACCAGCGGAATAACTATTTTTAAGTATTTTTTTATAATGTATTTTTATTTATTTTTTTTGATAATTTACATTGTAAAAAAATATTTAAAATTAAGAACCAAGGTTAATAAAGAGAATAATAATAAATATCTTTGGACAATCACAGACAGCGTCATCTAGCCCCAAAGTAAGCAATTAATATGCTTGTGTTATGGGTGCTAGCTTAACGGATATACTACTTATATACTTTTTACTTTTTTTTTAAATACATACATATTATACATAGTAACACCCAGACCCGTCACAGAAATTAAAATTCATCATTTCAATTTCTGCCCGGCCGGGAATCGAACCCGGGACCTCTTGGCATAGTAGTCCGTTCTGAACCACTACACCAAACGGCCGACAAAATTGAGGTGGGCGTTATAAATACACTACGATCATTCAATTTTGGGGTTCGCGCACGAGACTATTGGGTAGATACAGTTACCTATGGTAGCTCTCAAAGAAAACCTGCAGTAAACCTCGCTTCTGGTGGCCTGGAATATTGTTGTTGACCTGCACATTTCTCGAGACATATTATACGCAGTGATATACCTGTTATCCCTGCATGTAGACGTGTGCCTGTTACACAAAGTGCTTAATTACCAAGCTATGCAGGCACGACGTTTCTAACCCGACCATAGCAACTAAATCGACGCCAGTTGACAGTTTTATGGACGGAAGAGGAGTCTAAACATGACGGGGATAAGAAAAGTGTTTTTTAAAAGAAAATAAAGGGTAAGCTCGCCTCACCTGCTTCACGTGGTGCGTGTTGACGATGTAGGTGAGCGTGTTGAGCCAGCACACGTGCTCGATGACGAAGCACAGCAGCCCGAGGACTCTCAGTCCGTCAAGTGCTTGTAAGTCCACGCCGGTCGACGGTAGCTCCACGCTTTGTGGACAGCAGCATAGACTAGCCATACGGCGCTTTCAAGATACAAGCTCGCCTCACCTTCTCCACGTGGCGCGTGTTGACGATATAGGTCAGCGTATTCAGCCAGCACACGTGCTCGATGACGAAGCACAGCAGCCCGAGGACTCTCAGACCGTCCAGCGCTTGCAGGTCCACCCTTGCTGACGGTAGCTCCACGCTTTGTGGACAGCAGCATAGACTAGCCATACGGCGCTTTCAAGATACAAGCTCGCCTCACCTTCTCCACGTGCCGCGTATTTACGATGTAGGTCAGCGTATTCAGCCAGCACACGTGCTCGATGACGAAGCACAGCAGCCCGAGGACTCTCAGACCGTCCAGCGCTTGCAAGTCCACGCCGGTTGACGGCGGCGCTGCGCACAGTGCCCGCCAGCTTCCGCGTAAAGACCACGACAGCGCCCAGCTCATACCTTGGGAAAACGTAGCTGTTATATCACTGTATTTGGTAGATAATGCAATGCTATGCTATACAAAGAGCTGCTACATTACGAAGAAATACGTAAGTCTTACGTACTTCGTAAGATGAACGTGGGGGACAGGACTATGTAATAAAGGACGATACGGAAAGGAGAAACTTAATAAGAACTCTTTTGAGAGATACCCAACTCGCATATGCACTTATAAACAAACTTCGTTTGGAGTGGTATGAAGCGCCATGCAGTCCCCAAAAACATCCAAGAACATCATTTACTATTTTATTTTAATGAAAACATAAGAAAAAGGACCTAAGTTGACAGATGTTTCTAAATTAATAATGACCTTTCACAAAGCACAACTAGTATAAAAAGCTGTTACGACTTGCGAACTTTTTAGGTAGGTAATGTACTTAATTTGCATACAACACAAAGAAATACGAGTATATTTCAAAGCTCCTAAAGCTTTCTACATAGTGTCCGCTTCATTGCAGGATTAATGAGAAATGTTCTGTGCCCAGTGCAACACGTTTGTAACAAGCGTTACTAAAGATGGCTAATGGTATACAAATGACTAATGGACATTGCAAGAAGGATCGTCCATCCACAGTTTAAGGCCTTGGTCGATTTCATCCTAGATTCTATTCAATAGCTCATTTTGTGCTATGCAGCCTTTTGCAATAAGCTAAAAGCTTATCTATGAAGTATGTCTACGAGTATTAATAGATTTTGATATTGCGGGGGCGTTTAATGGAAGTAAGCTGGCAGTCCGCATCTGATATCTATCTATCTATATAAATAAAAATGAATTGATGTTCGTTAGTCTGATTAAAACTCGAGAACGGCTGGGCCGATTGAGCTGATTTTGGTTTTAAAATGTTTGTCGTAGTCCAGGGTAGGTCTAAACGGTGAGCAAATACGCGCGCGATATTGTTTTTCTGTAACAGACAAAATTCCACGCGGGCGAAGCCGCGGGCGGAAAGCTAGTTATATGATACAAACATACGCACGAATTTTCGTTTGTAATAATAATTATGACCCGGCGAAATTCATACCGCCTATGTTCATCAGAAATAATGAAGATTCTAATGGTAAAAGAATTTTTAAACAGCAGTTTGAGTAAGTAGGTAGGTAGTAGGTACTGCCCGCCTCAAAATGAATATTACCTCCTGTCCTCCTGTAAACTGTAACACACATACTTTTATAGAGTTTAGGTACTATTACTTATTCTGTGGTTTAGGGCCTCCGCTGCCGCTGGCGCCCGCCGCGGGTACTACCTGCCTACTGCTGCTCATACATAACCGATACTGAACCGCCGAGTTTTATTGGAGGCCCTTAATAATCCTCTTTTAAATTTTCCGGTAGGTATCTTCCTTTCCGGTATTTTGTTTTTGGAGTTGAATAAATTGAGATAAATACAGAAAACTAATTACCAAAATAAGTTTCCAAGTGTCATCAAATATGATTTAAGATAACTACTGTAGGTACCATCCTACTTATATCCTACTTCCTACTAATATTATAAATGCGAAAGTTTGTATGGATGTCTGGATGTTAACATGTTTGTTACTCTTTCACGCAAAAACTACTGAACGGATTTTAATGAAACTTTATAGTATTAATTATATATAACCCAGATTAACATATAGGCTATAATATGTGACGCGGGTGAAGCCGCGGGCAAAATAGCTAGTCTATACTAATATTATAAAGCTGAAGAGTTTTTTTGTTTGTTTACTTGAACGCGCTAATCTCAGGAACTACCGATCCGATTTGAAAAATTCTTTCAGTGTTAGATAGCCCATTTATCGTGGAAGGATAGGCTATATACCATCACGCTACGAGTGCAGAGCAACAATGAAAAATGTTGCGAGAACGGGTTTTCACGCGTACGAAGTCGCGGGCTATAATAGATATGCTTAGTGATAGCCGGACAAGCCAACTACATATTACCAGTTTCTCGCTTCTCCAAAGCCTTTCCTCACGAGATGCGGTCGCTCTGTTATGCAAGCTGAATCAATAAAACCTCGGATTTCATAGACCGCACGTGTCGGGTCACGTGGTTATACCAAATAAGTTGACGTAACTGCAAAGTTTATTTTCTACTCGATTCCTTTAAACCCTTTTGTTGTGAAAGACTTCATTTTATTTTTTATTTTATTTTATTTACTAGCTTTCCGCCCGCGGCTTCGCCCGCGTGGAATTTTGTCTGTCACAGAAAAACTTTATCGCGCGCGTCCCTGTTTCAAAAACCGGGATAAAAACTATCCTATGTTCTTTCCCGGGACTCAAACTATCTCTATGCCAAATTTCATCAAAATCGGTTGCGAGGTTTAAGCGGGAAAGCGTAACAGACAGACAGACAGACAGAGTTACTTTCGCATTTATAATATTAGTTGGGATTAGGACAACCAACAAGACAAACACGGCATACTCGTACATATGGAATTACTATAACTAAAACTGCTTAGAACTAAGTGTTGTCTTAATTAAAGGCTGCCACGGCTTGTATAATCCGCAATTAAAATATTTACAACAAAAATGACAGTTACAATATAATATTGTGTTTCTCAAGTAAAACTTTCCATTTCGGTAACTGAGGCCCTTCTCTTGTTTGATGAAGTTTATTTTTGCATCAGCTCAGTGATACTGAATGATAGGACATCATTACCACCGAAGCAACTTCGTAACTTACAAATGTCTAAATTATTAACGTTATAAAATACTTATAACGAGCGTGATAACTTAATTTAGTTAATTTAAAAGGCCCATCAAGATACCATCTTATTTACGATCAGTTAACGTTATTAGAACCGTCACGCACAGCTGATTTTCTCGTCTCATCTTAAAATTCACGGCCTTTTGAATGGCATCTGTCTAACACTAACCCCAATTTCTTACAAGAGATTAATATTCGTGATTGTCCCGGATTCTGAATTGATATTTATAGTTTGAGCATGCTCAGTTTCTACTCAAGTTTGAAATTTTCAAAATTCATAGTTGTTAAGTAAAGAATGAGCACGCTCAAGCTGAAAGTCTTAATTCCGAAACCGGGCCTTTATCTAGCACTAGCTGTGCCCCACGGTGTTACCCGCAGTAAAGCGTAGCCTATGTGTTAATCCAGGGTGTCAGTTAACTCGTGAAGCGAAAGTAACATACATACACACTCGCAAACTTTTATATATTAGTGTGATATCCTCATCCAGGTAAAACCGGGGCATGTAACAATCACTATGAAAACTATGCGGCTATCTCCTTGTATGCACCTTCGCTGCGTTTTGAAACAGTGAACGTCTTGGACAATGGATTGGGCAATGGCGTCTAACCTGTGATCTAAAATTACGCGGAATTAGTGCAATAATAATTACTTAATTTAAAACTTGAAGAGTGAAGTGGTCGACTTACTTGCCTAGCTTACAGTTTTGAAATTACTCAGAGTCAGTGTGTTCCAGTTATGGGATAAAATAAATAAATACATAAATATCCTTGGACATTTAACACTACGCTTCTAGTCCCAAACTAAGCAAAGCTTGTACTATAGGCACTAGACAACGGATATAAACATACTTAAATACTTTTTTTTTGTAAATACATACAAATTATACATAGTAACACCCAAACCCATCACAGAAATTAAAATTAATCATTTCAATTTCTGCCCGGCCGGGAATCGAACCCGGGACCTCTCGGCATAGTAGTCCGTTTAAACCACTACACCAAACGGCCGGATAATAACAATATAGTCATTTTAGGTAGCAGTAATAATGTTATAATAGACCTGAAGGTTGTTTTGTTATAATAAACAGTAAAATAAATCGAAACTATACGTTTAAACATGACTTAGCGACTTCCAACTCTTGAGGAGGAAACGCCCATACAAAAGACATCAACGCATTATGCCCAACTCGGCACGCAAACGCAAATCTTATTTTCTTTATTTATTGTTATTTGTTTTCATGTAGACTTCAAAAATAGTTGGTACAGATTTAAAGCGAAAAGATTTGTGTTGTATTTAAGTTAGATTATGATGTTTTAGCGTGAAATATTTGGGCAATTATTTGCTGAGTAAATTAACAATCCTTTTTCTGGGAGGAATCGAACTAGGTTAATAAAAATTTGTTGTAAACACATAACAATATTACAGCCAGTTAAAGGAAATCGTTATAACATTACTAGTCCTAGCCTTAGCCCCAGCCGGCCGCGAGACGTGCGCTTGCGCAACGCGGGACTATTCGGGTCAGAGTCCTTCTGCTCACTTACGCTCACCGACTGTTATGTAGAAAATTCTGGCTCTACACCTATTTGGGCCACGGAAAAAATTACGATACTTTATTATCGATCATTTGAATATATTTGATGTACTTAAATTTGACTATTCTTACCGTTAGATAATTCCTGGCAATAAGTGGTGACTGAATTTGTTCCGGCGTTTCTTCTCAGCACTTGCCATATGTTTGTCTCGAAGCGCTGGTAGGGCCCAAAAGATAAGGAGACATGTAAAGTGCCCCATAAGGGCTACCTTTTCTTTTTTTATTATTTTCTATTGACGTTCATAAGTGCCACTTGTGGTCTAAACTGAATAAATATTTTTGATTTTGATTTTTGATTTTGATTTTTGATTTTTGATTTTGAGTATTTATCTAAAAGGTGACTGACTGACATAGTGATCTATCAACGTACAGCCCAAACCACTGGATGGATCTGGCTGAAATTTGGATGTGTTATGACGTAGGCATCCGCTAAGAAAGGATTTTGAGAAACTCCACCCCTAATGGGGTAACTCTGGTACAAAGGGAGACGCGTACGAAGTCGCGGGCGGCCGCTAGTAATAATTATTTAAAATATTTTTGATTTAAAGATCCTTATAGAAGAGGATGCTTACGAGCATATTATTATTAGAATTATAAACATATTATTACTTCGTTTATTTATTAGTTTACTTAGCTCCATGTACTCGTATAAACAAGTGATTTCCCTTTATTAAAAATACGTACAATAAATTACAATAATATTGTTTTAACTTTCATGGACATGATCATTCATATCGTTATTTCTACCAAATATGTTATTATTGAAATGTTGATAAACAAACCGACACTCACATCTATATTTAGTAACGTATCCATAATTAGCATTGCGTCAAACCACGTGGGTTAATAATTTTCCGCTGAGCGAGTCGCGGTCATGCTTTTTCATTCCTTTCATAAGGCATTGATTACTTCAGGTCGTGCCACAATGGGTATATTTTAGAAAATGCTTATCAGTTTTTATAAGAATCAACTTTGCATGACATATAAATAAATATATGAGTTTATATCCGTTGTGTGTACACATGTACAAGCATTGCTTAGTTTGGGACTAGTATTATATTATCTGTGGTTTGGGACTAGAAGAGTAGTGTAAAATGTCCAAGTATATTTATTTATTTATTAGAAATTAGCCTAGAGACAACTAGCTTCTACGAGAAGTGTAGCTTCCGACCATTTCAGCTTGTTGCCCACTGAAAAGAACTCTTACAAACACAAAGCACTTACAGGTACTACAAGGTACATATATTCTTAATTTATTTATTGAGGCAAACTGTTTTTCTTTATATTAAAAGGTATTTATCAAAGTGTGATTAAGTTGGTAAAATTATTTCTTAAATAAATAGTTCAAAATACCTAAAAAAATAAGTAATTGTTAAATTGAAAATAGCTTCAGTTATTTTGCTGTCAGAGTTAATTAATTACGTACCTGGTCATTCATGCAGGAAAATTAAATAATAACTAGTATTGTAAAGTATAAAATAAATAATCCCTAATGAGACTTCATCGCTCGTTAATCGCAACTAAGAGTCATTTGGGCTGGGTTTCACCATCTTACTTTAACTTTAACAAACGTTAAAAATCTGTCAAACTCCATACAAAAACACCGGTTATTGTTATAGTTACGATTAAAATAGAGTGGTGCAATTCAGCCTTAGTGTGCCCCAATATAATTTTAACCCTGCAACTGCGAGACAACGTATAATTAGAAAAAGATGTGGGCCAATACACTAATTACTGCGTTGTCGAATAGTGCAGATTCTACATCTTCTACACTGTAGAAAAACTACTTTGCTAAGTGGACCCACGTAACTTAGTTGGCATAAAGTTTAGAGTTTATTTTCCTCAAAATCCGTTCACCTTTATAAAGTGCCATTCACTGACTTAGGGCGTTCGTGAATGGTTTGAAAGTGAGAGAAATAAAATATTAGTACCAAAGTCATTCCAGTGGGATTAAGTTGCGAAAGATCTCTGAAAACCACAAATGGAACTTTGGCATTACAAGCTTTCATATCAATCAAGTCTCACTCACACAACTCAATGAGTCTGTTTATTACCTATCTGACATTTATAATACAAATTGTTCAGACCAATATCTCACATAAGCGTGTGATTTGTTACAAATGTTATTACATTTCGAAATACGAACGATATGTTACTCGTATTATAGCATAACTGTCACTGCTTCGATGCCTCGCAACAGCAGTAACACGCTGCGTTCGATTATCGCAACAAAGTATATTTTATAAATATTCGCGGTTATAAAATAAGGAAAATTACTAGTTTTTTTTTTCATTCGAGAATAAATTTTATAATAATACATTAACTTAAAATGACTTAAAAACTAAAATTTAAAAATTACTAGTTTAGAAATATGTAGTTAAGCTTAATAACTAGAGACTTTCAAAGCCCACGCTTTACTTAAGTTCACGCAATATTGAGCACGATTTTCTTTCTTTGAAAACCATTTAAAGATGTCTTATTGTGAGCTAGTGATCAGCTTTGAAACACGCTCTTCTTTTCTTCAGTTGTCTGAGATATTTCTACAGGATATCTTACAAAACTTACAATACGTTCGTGCCGCCGTGACTGACGTATAAATCATCTGTGCACTTTATGCCAAATTGCCAATCACACTATAATCACACATAATCATAGTATTTGGTTCGATTCGCCGCGTGGGCAATAGGTTATACTATGTACCAGTACCTACAAGGAATGCCTTTCACATAACGCGCGCCTAATCTGTACCCGGGAACGAATATTTATGTAACTGCAGCTTTAGTTATCTTGCTCAGTTATGTTAAAGTTAGAAGCAAGTTTGTGAAGCTTTAGAAAACTTTTAGAACTTTCCCTTGCTATTTAGTGTAACTTTAAGCTGGCGTTAGGGACCCGGAGAACATTAAAGGATCGGTTTCCGTAAAGGGCGATTTGTTTTATGACCTCAAGCGTTTAACTCGTATAGTCGTACGTATCTCGTATAAGAATATACAGGGTGTTAGGTAAATGGGTAAATGAGCCGACACTAGCCCATGTTAACATATGCATATAAATGGTATGGTGAAGTCAGAAATTTGATATCATCATTTTATTTTTTTTAATTTTCATACAAAATAAATTTTATAAGATCCGATTTGTATGAAAATTAAAATAATTAAAATGAAGATATCAATATTCTGACTTCACCATACCATTTATATGCCCATGTTAACATGGGCTAGTGTCGGCTCATATACCCATTTACCTAACACCCTGTATATTAAATCATAGTCATAATCAAGCCATAGTTAAGGAATTGGTAATTGGTGTAAATCACAATGCAAAATAAATTACTATTATTTATATTTTAGTTTAAAGTTAATTGAATAATTTAAAAAAACAAATGTTAAGCCGCGTAGCGGTAATGAGCAGCGGCTCTTCGGAATCCTCTGACCGAGCTAGTTAAGCTCTAATTAAGATTTAATGTATTTCTTCCAAATGAAGTGGCTTCAATGTGGCAAGGTGCAGAGTCCAAAACACTTGGAACGAGTTTTTCAGTTGGAGTGACGCGATAATGATAACTCATCGCTACTTGCTATGGTCTAATTACGTTTTGCAATATTCAAAAGGTGAACGCGTATTTACTATTAAGTATCTAGTAGTTAGGGTTTAATTGCGTATCATAGGTAGTTTTCTTTAAAACTGTAAGCGTACATAACATTTTCCATATTTAGTATGGTCAATTTATACCATAGTTCAACCAGAACTTTTTGTAATAAGAGGGAATATGACCTAATAGGTAGGTCAAGTTCGGTGATCAATTTATTGATATTTTGTTTGCTAACAAACTCTGAATGCCTAGTTCTTGTCGATGAAATACTATGTTTGTTCTGACAACTTTCTATAGCAAATACTAGGGTTTCTATTAAAGCCACGGCCACCAACGAACCGCAAATATGATGGTTTCGCCAATCGAAAGAAACGCAAAGATCGCGCTTGCCCAACGCTGCGCGCGCGCCGTTGCGCCGGCCGGCTGCGTTAGATAACTGCTGGTTCCTGACTCCATTCAGTAATTTCCAGTAACATAGATAAGTTAATTAATCTTGGAATTGAAATTGGATTTTTGCGCATGAGGTTTCTCAGTTTGTCTTTACTTTTGGGAGTCACGCATAGGTAAAAGGAAACTTGGGAATAGATCAGTTTTCTTTCAGTTCTCTATACAATTTACCTACAGAAAATGTAACAATTACTCAGATATTTTTGGCCATCATTCAAATTATTGATGAAGAAGTGTCAATTATCACCATGGCATATGGCGCAGCCAAATCTAATTGCTTGAAATGCTGTATCCGTGATGATAATAAATAATCAATTCTGATCATACCTACTAATTTAACATGACTGCAATATGTAAATTGTATTGCCCGTCCATGGGAAGCTTTTCTAAAAGCTCACGCATGTAACGGAAAATTTTGATCTTCGATTCTTTGGCGGTGACCATGAATTTGATTAGAACGAGCTATAAATGTTACATAACGCTTATTACCGTTATTTTTACTACTGACCCGGCGACTGGTCGACGATCGACAGTCGCATCTAGGCTGATTGCACAGTGACCTCCGAAGACAACTTGTGTAAGTGAGATAACATCGTTGGCTCACTCGCGAAATGATCACTAGTTCTTGCTTTTGAGCTGTGCAAATTTTGAAGTGATAGGACTTGAGCAAATAACAGTGGCAAGAGTCTTTGTTAATCTCAAGTCGATCTTTCGTGACCGATTTTAAATTGCCCTTCGAAGCTTAGTAGTAAAATGTTAAATGCTAAAAGTATAATCAAAGAATGAGATGATAATGAACGGGCGCATAGTGTTCGAAGAGAGTTCAACGATCTTTAAATTGACCACAAGCTATTGTGACGCATATTATGTAATTTTGAACATAATATTGACTCCACAGCACAGAGATAAAAACAAGCTTTTCTAGTGAAAGCTATTCGTGATGCTGACCAATTCTATGAATATGAAATAGATAAAAAACAGTATTATTCGCAGTCAGTTTAATCCAGTTAGCATCGTTCGTAACGCCCCAGTGGGCTAACGGTGGCAGCGCCGGTGAACCGCGAAGTCCCGAGTTCGTTTTCGCGGTCGGTCAAAGTGTGTCGACTTGGACGTGATATCCGTGTGCATGTTCGACGATAATAGCGGTAATAATTTAGTGGCCATTTGGGTAGATTGTTTTAGAAGCAGTTAACTTTACGATAGAGTCATTTTTAATTTTTAATTAGCAATGTGTGCTTTGGAATATTTGGATTAATCTGTAAGCTTAATTGCATTTAAAGTAAATAAATACCAGTCAATCAAGGAATATGCACTGATCTCTTTGAAGATATTTCTTCCAGCCGACCCCAGGCCTTCATAGACATTGACTATCTATCAGTTCACTGATGCAACACTGGAATAAAAGTTGATGTACTAACTTTTCTTGGCGTGGTCGGTGAGCGTGAGGTCAAGCCCCGTGCTGACCGCGGCGAGCGCGAGCAGTGTCGCGAGCACGCCGGCGAATGCTCGCTCGCTGGTTGTCAGCGGCGGCGCCGGCGCCGGGCCCGCGCCGCGCTCGCAGTACTCTAGGTGGTACAGCCGCGCAGACAGGTTGTAAGCTGACATGGTACTCGCGTTCACGCATGACGCAAACCTGAAATAGTAACGTGTCTAAAAAAGGTCGCACAAGACGCGAACCAGTGCCTGAAGACAATTTACTATGCGTATACAGTGTATAACAAAGAAATAGCTTTACTACGGGGCGTCACTACAAAACAGTAAATGAATGGCGAATGTTATATTCTAGAGACCCAATGGCCGTCGAAAACGTGAACATATGAAGCAATCTTCGTTATCAAGAAATTTCGCTTGATGGTCTCAAATGTGTAACCTGTGAATAGACTGTAATGATTCTCCAGACCGTAATTTCAAATCTCTAACCATGGAGCACTCGATTTAAATACGTGTCTATAAGGAACTATCCAGGATCCGTTTTTTTTCTCTGACTGGATAAAAATAATGAACTTGAAGTCCGGCTAGTGTCCCAAGAATAGCGAATATCTCACTTGGAACAGATCAAACCATGAGAATTTCTATAATCTGTTGTCTGAGGTGTAAGAGCATACTCGTACGCACCAAGCGTCCATGGGCTGGTGCTCGTCGTCGAGCTCGCAGCGCCGCGACACGCACAGCCCGCGGTGCAGCCGCGTGTGGTTGAAGTTGTCCACCCAGTTCGACGAGTGTAGCTGCGGAATACATAAATTATATTACTCCAGAATTCAAAGATACAACCAAACACTACACTTGCTTGCTGCTTGGAAAAAAATGATTGAACGATTTGGTGGCGAAAAGATGAGAGCTGTTTATTTAGCAGTGGACTACTGTGAGTTGATAATTACCTAATGAACAAAAACTCATTCATACAGCAGCATAAGAAAATCTAGATGTGGATTTAATTAAGAAATTTTCCGGTTTTTTTTAAGTAGGAAACGATGTCTTTTGGACAAACAAGAAAAATTACGGTTGATTGTTGTTGTTGATCATCCATTACACATAAAGAAACGGTTGAAAAGGCAAAAGTATTTCAGCTCCGCCACAGATGAAACTAGCCATGAACTAATAAAACATCTACCTAACCACTTTATGACCAGCGAAGAAAGAGATTGTCTTTAAAAATCTCAATAACCATTTTCCTTTCTACATTCTTTTCAAATTTCTAAAGCTCGGCCATCGTTCGCCGCGACCTTCGTTCGGACCTTGATCCCACAAGCTGACAGCTCCAAATGAGGATCATTTCGATTTTTAGCTGTGAATGCAGATTTATAGGGCTAAGAAATCCTTAATACACAGTGCAAAAATTTTTGTTCTACGACAAAAATTGACGAAGTTATGGCCAAATTACTAAAAAAGTTCACTGACCGCCCGGCGCCGGGACGATGACGTCATTATATCCGATCCGAACGCTGCCGGCGTACTGCGTGGATAGAAAATATTCTTTTCTAGCCAAATTATCAGTTTTAGGGAAAAACTTGTAATGACATTTATTCATCAGAATAAAGTAAGCTATCGATAGGTAATTTTTAAAAATGGAAATTGTGAAAAATAACGCAAAAAATCCATACGCTCATACGATTCAATGGCACGCAGAGACGCGATTGGGGTCTCCGCGGTGGTATATTTGGCGATTTATTCAAATAAAGTGTACATACCTAAGTGTTGTTAGAGTCATATCTTCTTCCAAGTAAAATATAAGTGAATACTTAAAATAATATCGATTAAATTTACAGATTATTGTCTATGACTCACAGGTTACGGCACTGATGTGTCAGAGACAAGTCATAGACAATATGGAGATAACACATGATTTTAAACGTCAAGTCAATTTGACAATGTCACAAATTTTCATCGTCCACGTATTTTGCTAAAATAATTTGTTTCAAAGATTGATTTCAAACTTGTATAAACGTGAAAATAAAGTTGGTTTCATGGGCTTGCTAAATAGTGTGTATGATATTATGAACACGTAAGTGATTATGGTGTAATGAGGATCATTTCGATTTTTAGCTGTGAATGCAGATTTATAGGGCTAAGAAATCCTTAATACACAGTGCAAAAATTTTTGTTCTACGACAAAAATTGACGAAGTTATGGCCAAATTACTAAAAAACTTCACTGACCGCACGGCGCGGGGACGATGACGTCATTATATCCGATCCGAACGCTGCCGGCGTACTGCGTGGATAGAAAATATTTTTTTCTAGCCAAATTATCAGTTTTAGAGAAAAACTTGTAATGACATTTATTCATCAGAATAAAGTAAGCTATCGATAGGTAATTTTTAAAAATGGAAATTGTGAAAAATAACGCAAAAAATCCATACCCTCATACGATTCAATGGCATGCAGAGACGCGATTGGGGTCCCCGCGGTGGTATATTTGGCGATTTATTCAAATAAAGTGTACATAAGGCCTCAGCCTCGAACTTAGCGGGCAGCGGGGCGGCGGCGGCGGCGGCGCGGGAGCGGCAGGATCTTATGCGTAAAATCAAATACACCGGTTCTCGAAAACAGCGGCGCGGCAGCGGGGCGGCAGCGGGCAACGAGCGGGCAGCGGCGAGGGAGCGGGCAACGAGCGGGCAGCGCACTCCTTCTTTTGCCCACAATAAATCGAGCGTTAGGAATAAATTTGAATCAAAATAAAATTGTCGCCGTTGTTCAGACATTTCGTTTGCCAATAAAAACAAATATCTCGAAAACACAACCCCGAACACAACACTTCGCCGCTAAAGCGCCGCGCGAGCTGCCCGCTTGTTTCGAGAACGGGTCTGCGTTGCCCGCCCCGCTCCAGCGCCGCCGCCGCTCCCGCCCCGCTGCCCGCTAAGTTCGAGGCTGAGGCCTAAGTGTTGTTAGAGTCATATCTTCTTCCAAGTAAAATATAAAAATGTATAAGTATTAATTTATTTACTTCTAACAATAAGTTATAACTTCTAACTAGCTGGAAATCTATTTAATCTTAGCCTAGAAGCTGGGTATGACTACCCCGCCCCTCTCCTCTCCCCAGGTCATAAACTGGGCATGACATCCCCCTCGGCCAGAAGTTGGGTATGATTTACCCCCCCAGGCCAGAAACTGGGTATGACTTGCCTCTCCCCCCTCCCACCAAGGCCAGAAGCTGGGTAAGGCTTGCCCCCCCNTATTTACTTCTAACAATAAGTTATAACTTCTAACTAGCTGGAAATCTATTTAATCTTAGCCTAGAAGCTGGGTATGACTACCCCGCCCCTCTCCTCTCCCCAGGTCATAAACTGGGCATGACTTCCCCCTCGGCCAGAAGTTGGGTATGATTGACGGATATAATGACGTCACGCGGCCTTGCGTACGTTGACTTTTAGCGGCAAAAACGGCCTATGTTTATTACTTAATATCTTCGTAAGTAATGGTCCGATTTGGATAATTCAAAAAGATATATCTTTCTTATGTCTTAAAGATTAACGTAGATACTAGTTTTATTGAATTTTCTACAACAGTACTGATCCTCATTGCACTAATTCTAATCACGTTTACGTTACATTGAAGATATTCGTTGCATAAGATGCTTTGGGAGTTAAAGACCCCAGAAATGTGTGTCAAGGGTACACAACAATCTCACTGGACTCGCTTTCAACACATCGCGTGTTAGATCTAATCGCTTGTTTTGTTGTGAATTGTATTATACAATTATTTTGATGCCTGTTGACGTTGAACTCGCCTTTTTTGTTTGTATATGTGGCTGATTGAATTGAAATTAGCATTCGCAGACATTATCTTCGTAGAGAACGGTCAAGGAAGATTTATAACACGAAAAACCCAGAATTGGGATACAAAAGTTCATTAAAAACATTATGTACTGTACCGTCTGTTGATCATACTCTTACATATTTCATTGGAATTTCATTGTTTTGAAAAATAAACTAGGTACTCAAAGGGCACGACCATAGTACATTCTATTTTCAGTTTCAGAGTTATTAGAATTACTTATTTTACTATTATAACTAGCTTGATCTTGAAACGGTTGTAATCCTTATAACTGTTAGCGAGCAGTTTCGTAACCACCCTCTCACTTACGTAGTCGCCCGGACTGGCCGCGCGGGTGCCAACAACCCATGACTTATGGCTTCCTGGCGGTCTACATGAACGCTGCTTTAAGCAGCAGGCAACTAAATTAAACAAAAATCTCCATCCCTCGACCATTATCCTCTTCTGATAGCTCAGTCTTCTCAGATTTTATTTTAATAAACGTAACTACGATGATGCCGTCAGGCCATAAAGCATCAATTGACATGCAAAAATCTTGGCGCATTACGTGAGACAGGCAGATGAGAACTTTTATGGGATTATTCATAAAGTAATTAATGGCTATTTAATACTATTTAATTAAATCTCATAAAAGTTCTCGAATGGCATACCCCATTAAATCAAGTATTTCCCATTAATTATCCTATTTGTTTTTCTACTTCCCTATAAATTAATTCATTATGGTAATCCTGACGACCTTTTCCATATTGCGCTCTAGATCTATGCAACTCCTGAAAGCATCCTAATTTCAATAATTGCATCAACCGAACAGACTGTAGATGGCAATATTAAAGAGCTCTAGCAGCAATTATAATAATTAGCACATTATTTTCATGTAATGTTTTCATAATATGATTACATTACATATTTTCACATAGGTAGTTATGCAGCGTTGTAAATATATCAGCAGTCTGGTTATGTACTAGGTTTTGGGTTAGAAAATGTGGTGTGTAGTGTGTTTCTGGCAACGAAGAGACCACCAACACTTACCACGGCGTCGTAAAAGGCGATTCTGGGATATACAAACTTCAAGCCTCTCAAACTGGTCTGGCCAGCGTGGGAAGTGTAGGCCAAGTCCACCATCTGCCTGTGGTAAATTAGAGAGGATCGTACTGTACATTCGGCCGTTCAGTGCAGACTACCGCAATGCACGCTGCTCCCGCCAGCTCTTCTCGCGACCTGACGACACTGGTGCAAGAGCCGCACCTGCATGAGCTGGTAGAGCAGGCTCGGTTTATCGGGCGCCAGCTCGAAGCTGCCCACGCAGTAGACGCCGCGAGCCGCGAGCCTCTCCTCACGACCTGACGATGCCGGTGCAAGGGACGCACCTGCATGAGCTGGTAGAGCGGGCTGGGCTCGTCGGGCGCCAGCTTGAAGCTGCCCACGCCAGTACGTGCTGCGCACCGCCAGGCTCTCCTCATGACCTGACGATGCTGGTGCAAGGGACGCACCTGCATGAGCTGGTAGAGCGGGCTGGGCTCGTCGGGCGCCAGCTCGAAGCTGCCCACACAGTAGACCCCGCGAGCCGCGAGCCTCTCCTCACGACCTGACGATGCCAGTGCAAGGGACGCACCTGCATGAGCTGGTAGAGCGGGGTTCGGCTCGTCGGGCGCCAGCTCGAAGCTGCCCACGCAGTAGAACCCGCGAGCCGCCAGGCACTCCTCACGACCTGACGATGCTGGTGCAAGAGACGCACCTGCATGAGCTGGTAAAGCAGGCTCGGTTTATCGGGCGCCAACTCGAAGCTGCCCACGAAGCAGACGCCGCGTGCTGCCAGGCACTCCTCACGACCTGACGATGCTGGTGCAAGAGACGCACCTGCATGAGCTGGTAAAGCAGGCTCGGTTTATCGGGTGCCAGCTCGAAGCTGCCCACGCAGTAAACCCCGCGAGCCGCGAGCCTCTCCTCACGACCTGACGATGCTGGTGCAAGGGACGCACCTGCATGAGCTGGTAGAGCGGGCTGGGCTCGTCGGGTGCCAGCTCGAAGCTGCCCACGCAGTACACGCCGCGCGCCGCCATGCTGTCATCATGACCTGACGATGCTGGTGCAAGGGACGCACCTGCATGAGCTGGTAGAGCGGGCTCGGCTCGTCGGGCGCCAGCTCGAAGCTGCCCACGCAGTACACGCCGCGCGCCGCCAGGCACTCCTCGTAGTGGTCCAGGTGGAACAGACGCGGCATCTCGTAGAACTGCTCATCTGCAACCAACAGGCACGTCAGTCATGATTCCAAATAACAAGGAATAAGCAACTGACTTTCGAGCTTACTTCATATTTTAGAATAGAGCTGATGCTTTAATAGCTGATCACTGCTTTGCCTAAATTCAATGGTTTTAAAGAAGTACATAAGGGGGAAATAAAAATGGATGGTTCCACTTAGAAAGAGAGTGAAAAAGAATATGTCACCAAGCTGACTCAAATGCAAGTTCACTGGACACCCTTTTGAGTTTAATTTTAAGTTACGCGCCGGAGTACGAGCCCGAGGCTAAAATGTAACATGATTAAAAATTGATTAATGGCTAACTGGTGTCAATGATACTGTAATTTAACTTAAACGATTTTATAAGAACGGGCTATTAATTTAACGACTATAATTGAATAGCTTTTGCACGCAGTCTCTATGTCACCGACTTGGACATTGGTGTCCAAGCCTTCATATGTACTTCATAGCTTAGGATACAATATTGTCTTGATCTATCTAGTCTCCATCTAGGGTTGGGTTTTCTTTTATGAATATTTATAGAAATAAGTAATTCAACTAATAAAATACTTAACCAAATTAATCTGAATATCTACTATAGTTGTGCAATTAAGATTAAGATCTATAATTATGGGTTTTAAACGATTAATTGCCATAGAGGGGTGTAATATAATTTTATTATTAAGTAATTGATTAATGTATTTTAATTTATGTATTTAATTTATTTTTATAATCTTCAGTGTATGTAGGTATGTTACTTTATTGAGCAATATAAATATACATACAGGGTGTCCCATAAGTACATAATTATAAGTATTAATTTATAATTATTTATAGTGATTATTTGCAAAAAAATACCACACAAAACTGCCAATCTCGCGAAATCGCAGTTGGCGAAAATTTGCGAGATCTCGCAGTATTGTAATTCATAAGCTCGCGAGATCTCGCTTGAGCCCCAATCTCGCGAGATTTGCATTCCCTAGTTAAAAGTAGGTTTAAATTTTTCACAAGCAATTAAGACAACATTTTCAGACAGCGACCTCCACGTTTTTCGTGATTTGACGTGACGGTTACATAATTTTTGTAAATTTTCCCTGATGATATAAGTAGTAGAATGGCGTTTAACAGGGCAGGCAGGGAAACGCATTAGTGGGAGGCTCGCAGTCGTGCCGTGGCCGTTATGTCACCGTGTCGCGAACAAGTTACTAGTTTCTTACGTCATTTCCTAGACCTAAGTTTAGTTGTTTGGTCTCGGGTAGCTTTGGAAAATTAGGACAAACAGACGTATTTCTACAAATACTGTGTTACTGATAATGTTGCAGCTGTTACAAGTAGGTTGTTTGCCCTATTTGCGTAAAATGTGCTATCAGAGCTTTGATAGCGAGAAAGAGTCTATTATGTCTAATATTTGCAGTTGAAATGCAATTCGCATTATTTATTAACAGACAAATGAAGTTAAAACTTTATTTAGTTCGTTCCATTTGCTAATCCATTATGCTATGTCAGCGACTTTAGTTCGTTTACGGATCTCCCTCCTCATTTCTATTCGATCTCGTAAAGAAACACCGAGCATAGCCCTTTCCATAGCACGCTGTGCACGCATTTTTGAGCCTCATAAGTAGCAGGAAGGCGCTGGATGCAGACCGCTACCAACCGTTCGATGTGGAAGTCATTGACTTAGGCATTGGCTGAAATGAAGATTGATGATGTTCAACTTGACATTGAAAAAAATCTTCGAGGGTGGCGTTTTCGATCTGACTTGTTCAATACAGTAGGTGTACATTGAATAAAAGCTTGAAGCTTCTTTGGGTCACCTGCAGCGCTGCAGGGCTGCAGCCTCGTCGTGTAATGTCGCGGTAATGCGTTGCGTGACATGTAGGAAACGTGTCCAACGCAGCGTTTAGCAAGAAAAACGCTCTCATAGGGCTAGCACTCGCTGTGGCTTCAAGATTCTTTAAATTAAACTGGCCAAGTTTCTTAGCCTTTTTCGTGCACTGTTATTTATCATTAGTCTTATATTTCATTAAAGTTGCTAGTTGGTTTCCCAAAATTTAATAACTTTATAAAATTTTTTGGAGTCCACTTCTTTGGGACACTAAACTACATCTTTCTCACAAAGTTCAGGTTTATTTATAATTTGTAGTTCATAAAATAATTACCCGACGGTCAAACGCAAAGGCAATATCATAAGAAACACAATAAATTGGAATGGCACAATTTAGCCGGTCCTATCTCTAGGAAGCGATCTATTCTTGATATCCCGTGAAGACGGCACTTGTTTGAAAATTTTAAAGCAATTTGTTTTAAAATATTCTGTATGTTTTTGTAGGAGTGAGCCCTAGCCTGCATCGCAGAGAAAGTGCATCTAGTACTAGTTTCAAGTAGCAGTTCTGTTGCGTCAGCGGGGTCAATTAAACGCTGGAAGCCTCCCGAGACACGCTCACATGTCAACGAAAATTATACTCCTACTAAGTTTTCGTTTACATATGACGCCTCGGGGCTTACATGGTTGAAAATTTTCCCGGTTTTCATATTTTTCCACACCACATTGTACAGCAAAAGATAGCTAATTATTTAGGTGTTCAAACTGCGAGCGGTGATTTGATATTGTGCTATTCCCGAATCCATTTAAAAGCCTCAAAGAAAGTCTTTACATCCAACTTCACTTTGTAATACTTTATTATATGTTTGTGTATGTTAGTTATTCAATGTACGAGTAGGAAGTACTTAAACTGCAGTTAACAATTCCCAAAGATCGTGACACGTCAAACTATTAAATTACAGGATCTTTGACAAGCGCCTATAAAAATTTACGGGCACTTAACTATTAATGGCCAATGAGGTCGTTTATGTCACCCGTGAATCAATAGGATCTTCTTTATGGTTTCAAAGAGGGATTTAAGCACGTACTCTTGCATTATAATGAACGATGCATTTACAGCTTATTCATTACAGAAGCAAACGTTTGTATTATCATTTTACTATTGGGTAACAAAGATATTATTGTCTGGGCCGAACAAACAGTCGGAAAATTCTTAGAAAAAATTCTATAATGACAGAACCTACGCTAGGGATTGAAATCCCGCAAAACAGTATCCCGCGGGATCCCGCATATTTGATACAATCAAATTGAAACTACACCTACTACTATATTTGTGTAGAAATCTACTTTTATTAAACTTCTTTCTTACAAGTAACAGTAATTAAATAATTAAGTAATTAGTGATCTGTTTTTCAATCCCGTGGGATTGCAATGAGCTGCGGAATTGCAATCCCTAGTTCGTACTTACGCACCTATATTAGGTACCTACATAATGTTATGATCTAACCTCGATTGTTATTTTTATTAAAAACTACCAAAGGAAACTAATATGACCGTGAATCGTTTGAATTTGGCCAAGGATCCTTTTGCGGTAGGTAATCATAATATTTAATAACATTTTAGCAACCAATAAGTTATTAATCGTTATCTTTCAACTAATTGTACAATTAATGAAGAACATGCAATTAAATAATACACACTGAAATTGCTTTATGTAGGTAATGTAACCTACATTACTAGTTTATGCAGGTAGAGTATTGTAGCAGTTAACTATAACTTTTAAATCGTCTATTAATATTGAAATGTAAATAATATGCTTAGAAAATAAGTCAAATGGTTCATAAATTATAAGCAACGTTTTATAGAGAATGCTTCAATTTGTCATTAGAAAATAGAAAAGCCAGCAATTTCCATCAGAAAAGCGATTTCGCTTAGCGGTAAATGATTTACATACTTGAGAGTAATCTTATTGGTCACTTTCGTAGAGTAGATTTTGGTCTCGTTCACAATATCAGAATGTTTGGATTATGTATGGTCCTCAATCGGATCTCGGAAGATGATGACTTTGCCCAGCCGTAAGATAGTGATTGAAAAAAAACAAACTCGAAGTAAGCGAGTAAGGAATTTGATAGGTAATCCGCTCACCTCGTAATCTTTCGCCCTTTTGCCCAAAAATATGGGGAACAGATTCAATTTATGGTAACTTCCTATGAGGGGGAAACTTACGGGGCGAATGGGTTCGAGACCGAATGTGGGAATATCGAAGTTTTCAAGTCTAAAGTCCACTGGCTTTTCTATTATTCCTTACACCCTACAAGACCATATGATTGGTGTCATGATTTCAGTCACCTAGCACTATCCCGGAACAAATGTAGGTACTTCAATCAAAACTGGACTCAAACCGCTGCTTTACTGAGAAATGCGGTAGAGGGATTCTGAAATGGATCTCGTTTGCGGTCAATTTCTACAATATTGACCGTGTTAATTGACCAATATAACGGGGAAGACATTTTAAACTTTCTTGAAGTTTTATTTCACCTATGTTTATTTTCTTCGACATGAACAGTTGCGTGTCCCTGTCATTCCGCTTAATTTGGTAGAGTTGTAGCCAAATATTTATTTTGGGGGTCAACTTTGCAGTGGTCAAATGGAATGGAATTGAATTCAAGTTCAACATTTTACCGACGGTGTTGCAGTATTCATATGCACAGTTCGAAATAGTCTCAAACTATGGCAAACAAAGCTTCTAAGATAAATATGTACTTCGATACATTGAGAGGGGTCGATGCACCGGCGTCGAAGTCCATGCATTGCTACGATTAATCATGAAATGTGAGTATTCGGTGTTATCACCGGAATAGTGCGTATCAATTTGTCTGGCGCGTGAATGAATCAGAAATTGATTGCAGTCATTAATTTGTAGGATTTTTAAAGACGACTCAGTAGTTTATTACAATATTTTCTCGACCCATTGATTTGATGATGATTGTGTGCACTGT